GGAACAAAGTCTGAAAAAGAAGGGAGGGAGAGAGGGGAACAGCTGGAGCAGGAGCAGAGCTCTGGGTGCCCTCTTCCAATGAAATGACCACAGAATCACAGAATATCCTGAGCTGGAAGGGACCCCCAGGGATCCTCCAGCCCAGCTCCTGGCCTTGCACAGACACCCCAACAATCCCACCCTGGGCCTGACATCTTTGTCTAAACCCTCTGGCAGCCCTGGGGCTGTGCCCATTCCCTGGGGTGCCTGTTCAGTGCCCAGCACCCCTCTGGGGGAAGAACCTTTCCCTGATATCCAACCTAATGAGACCCCCAAGCCTCCTCCACCCCTGTGCCATGTCCCCAAAAGGCCAGACTGGGTCTGCAGGAACATTCTCTTCCTTGGGGAGCTCTCAGCTGCTCCAAGAACCTGCAGGCTGCTGACTCCAGGTGCCACCAGACAAGTGTTGTCCCCGTGCTCAATTGTTCCTGCTGGCCCCAGGAGAAGTGGGTTCCCACAGGCGGCTCCTCTGTCTCCAGCATGATGCTGAACCCCTTGGTGGGCTGGAATGCCAGAGGAGTCAGCAACAGAGTAGAACATCCAAGGGACGCAGTGCAACATCCCCACCACAGAGCCTGGGGCCAGCTGTCTCCCCCCAGCACCCCCAAAGTGACCTCAGCACCAGCAGGAGAGACCCAACCAGCCCCTCTGGCACATCCAGCACTGGAATCCTCCTTGTCCTTCCACCACAGCCCTGTTCAGATGCAGGATGAGCCCACAGCCACTCACTGCACCCCGAGCCTGATGCACCCCAAAGTGCCACAACCACTGCCCACTTACTTTTGAGTCCGGGGTTGGGGGTTTTCTCCACATACTGCACGGGGCCGCAGGTGCTCTCCCCGCTCCGGCTGCCGTCCAGCTGCTGCTCTACCTGCTGCCAGGCTGGGGAGGGGAACAGGCGCTGCATGGGTTTGGGATGGGGGTTCCCAGGGTGGGGGGCTGTGGGACAGGAGCGGGAGGTGGAGCAAAGGAGGGCAAGTCCCCAGGCCGGGGACTCCATGCCTCCACCGACATCCCCGGCATGGTGCAGATGCTGGGGAGGGACTCCATCTGCTCCAGCTCCCCTGGGTGCTGCCCCAGGGACCCTCTGCCCTCACCTTCATAGACAAAGCGGACATTCTCCTCGTGGGCCAGGGTGTAACATTCCTCAGGGGCTGAGATCTGCTGCAGCAGCAGCGGGGGCCTCTTGCCATTCACTCTGTTGAAGACGAGTTTCTGCACTGGGCTGTGGAGGGAGGAAAGCAAGGGGGGATGAGGGCACAGGCAGCTCTGCCACCCCAGCAAGAACTGGGGTGGTTCGGGTGTCCTGGGCTGCCCCACGGTGCACACACTCGCCCACAGCTGCAGCCACCCAGCCTTGTCCCCAGGGACTGGGATGGAAAGGGACCCAGCCCCCAGGGACAGGGGATTCTGACACAGGACGGGTGCAAGGGGAGCTCCCTGGGGAAAAGCACCAGCTGCCCATCTCCCACCCATCCTCCAATCTTAGCACCAGGTGCAGTCCCTAAGATAAAGAATCTGCCACTAAAATTGCAGGAACATCAGGAAATGTAAGTGAAATCCAGTCAGGTACTGGACAGGGGATGTGCTGTCTTCTGCAGACCCAGCACTCAGGTTCCCTGGAACAGCTCTGGCCGCAGCATGGGGTACACAAGGTGCCCCAGGACTGGGATGTTACATTCTGAAAAATAGGAGCAGGTCAGGCTTCCTCAGAGCTGGGATCCCCTCTGGTGGGGGGCACTTCAACCACTCCCTGCCTGGATGCAGCAACCCCCACCAGAGCCTGGGATGAGACTTGGGAGCATGTTCAGAGCAAAACTCCAGTATTTTGGCTTTTCTGCCCAGCTCCAGGGCAGGACACGTCTGCAACAGCCACGTTCCTCAAGGGACAAAGTCTAAGAGGCCCTAGGAGTGGGTTTGGAGGGCAAGAGAGACTGGGAGCAGGCAGCTCCTGCAGATCTAGAGGCAGGGGCTGGGGAGGGCAGTGACATTGAAGCCCCCACATCCAGGGGCACTGGGCAGGCAGGAGGAGGGCAAGCATGGCAGAAGCCACTCCAGTGAATTCCAGAATTCCAGAGATCCCGGGAAGGAGAGGGACTGGGGGGGAGGGGGGGGGGCGGCTCATCCATCCACTTCTTGGAGCTGGAGAGGAGGTGCAGAAACAGCGGGGTCCCACTATCGTGTCTGGGTGTGCTGTGACTCCAGCCCTCAAGTTTGGAAAGAGTCTCCTTAGGGGTCCCATCACCACCTGCCAGCCACTGGAATACCCCACAGCACCCAGCCAGCAGCTCCGGGTATTGCTGCGGGACACAAATTCACCCAGCAAGTGTCGCCCTCGCTTTTGGGGCAGAGAGGATCGCCAGCTCCGCGCGGGCTCCGCGGCGCCCGTGGGTGCGCGGTGCGGCCAAGCGGGCGGGCCCGGCGCTGGCCCCGCCGCCCGGTTTGTGCAATCGGGGCCGCCGGCGGGTGGGGGCTGGACCAGCGCGGCCCCGGCTCTGCCCCGCACCGGGACCCGCGGCGTGACCCCCTGCTCCCACTGCCCGAGATTTTGGGGATGGCCCGTGGGAAGGGGAAGGAGGGGGAGCGGCACTCCGGTGTGTCCGGGACGCGGGGCTGCCCACGGCACGCGTGCACAGAGCTGCGCGGGACGCGTGCGGGCACAAGCACCGCTGAGACCCCCGGGCCGAGCGGCACCGAGCGGAGAGCCCGCGGCCCCCTCCCGCTCCTGCCGGGCGGCCCAGCCCGGCCCGTTCCCCTTCCCCTTCCCCTTCCCAAGGTCAAGCGGCCCGGCCGCCCCAGGCCGGTCCCCGTCCCAAGGTCAAGCGGCCCGCGGGGCTCACCTGGCGGGGGGCCACGGGCCGGGCTGCGCTCGCCCCCGCAGCTCGCCCAGTTTGCTGCTGTCCACCGCCTGCTGCGTGGGACCTGCGGGGAGCGCGGGGCGTCAGGGGGGCGGCGGGGCGGGCAGCGAGCCCCGCGCCCCCCGGCCCCGCGCCCCCCGTACCTGTGCGGCGCTGCGTGGCGAGTTTGCTGGGGCCGCGCGTCAGCGTGTACATCCTGCGGGCCCCGGCCCACGGCCCTGCCGCCCCCGCCCGAGTGCCTCAGGTGCCCCTCACCGGGCGTCAGCGAGCCCGGCCGAGCCAGCCTCCGACACGCCCCCGCTGGAATTAAAGGGAACGCGAGGGAAGCGGGTGGGACGCGGCGACCGCGCGCGGCCGCTCGGGGGACACGCGCGGGACGGGCCGGGGGGACACGTGGGAGGCGTGCAGGGACACATGCGACATGTGTGCTGCGTAAGGGACGTGTCTGGGTTGCGGGGACACATCGGGGACACATCGGGGATTAATGGGGACACACAGGATGAAGGAACATACACTGGAGACAAGCAGGGCACGTGCTGGGAGCACATATGGGGACTTCCGTGGGACACAGAGGGGACGTGTGGGACCCGCACAGGACACACAGAATGCACGCAAGGGACATTGGACCATGCGGGGCTCAAGTAGGGGAAAGGGCACAGCAGACACGTGGGACACAAGATGGCACAAACGCGCAGAGGACACGGGAGTCACGGGAAACTCGGAGGGGACCTGCACGGGGACATGCAGGAGACAGGAGACTGCAGCCACGGCACACACAGGGGACAGATAGGTGTCATCCCTGGACCCAGGACAAAGGACCCAGGCAGGGAAAATGAAGGGGCGCAGAGGCAGGGGCTGAGGTGCCACCCCCACGGGGACAGTGCTGTGAACAGTCCCGAGCTGCACGTCCCATGAGCAGCGCAGGGAGCCGGGGTGGGCAGCCGCGTCCCGGCCAGCACCGTAACCTTTGGAGCGGGGACGTCCCGCCAAGGTGTCCGCACGTGGCAGGAGGTGCAGACCCAGGACACGACCCCGAGCTGGACCCCGGCCACCCCGCAGTGTCCACCGGCCGCCCCTGTGGCTGTCGACAGCACCCAGAGTTTTGGGGACAGATCGTGTGATAAACACGAGGGTGACCTTCGCCTTTCCGCCACGTTGCCCCGGTAGCGGCCAGCGAGGGAGGGGTGTAAGAGGGTCCCTCCCATAAAAGCCCAGCAGCGCCTGACCCTGGTGGGTGCCAGGCAGGAGCAGACCTTTCGCGGATGTGCATCCACTGCTGTCACCCCCAGCCCTGTTATTGTGCCTAAAAACAACCCTGACCCATGGGATGTCACTACTGGCTGTCACCCGCCATGTAACGTGCTGGCGGCTGTGCCTCAGTTTCCCCGCAGACCTGCCCGGGGTTTCTAAGTGCCTGTTGGCGCATCCCTGATCTTTTCCACGCTTGGAAGGGCTCTAGGTGGATCCCTCCGGACCTCCATCAGCAGTGAAAGGGCGGGTGGGGGTCCCCCCTCGCCTCGTTTTCCTGGGGTGTCCGCGCAAGGCCTCGCTGTGTCCCTTTCAGGGGGCCGCGGCCGGGCCGGGGTCCCGCGGGGGCGCAGCTCTGAGGGGCGGCGGGAGGGAAGCACCGCCGGCCGCGCCGCTGGTGTAGTGGTATCATGCAAGATTCCCATTCTTGCGACCCGGGTTCGATTCCCGGGCGGCGCAGTTTCCTTTTTTTTTTCCTTCCTTTTTCCTTCCCCCTGCCCTTTTCCCCTCCCCGCGGGGCGGGCCGGGAGCCGTAGTCCCGCCGCCGGCGCGGCCATGCAGGTCCCGGCGGCCGCGGAGCGGAACAAGGGCCCGATCCTGGCGGTGCTGCGGGAGTGCGCGGGGAGCGGCGCGGGGAGCGGCGCGGGGAGCGGCGCGGGGAGCGGCGCGGGGAGCGGCGCGGGCGCGCTGCGGGTGCTGGAGGTGGGCGCGGGCTCGGGGCTCCACGCCGCGCACTTCGCCCGGGCCCTGCCGCAGGTGCGCTGGCAGCCCTCGGACATCGACCCCGCGGCGCTGCGCAGGTGAGCGGGGACGGGGAACCCCTTCCCACGGACCCATGGACCCGCGGCCCCCGTTCTCTGCTCCCCATTTTATTTATTTATTTATTTAATTATTTCTTTATTTCGGGGATTTTGGGAAATCCGACTCTCCTGCAGCCTGGGCTCTCCTGCTTTTAGTGCTTTGTTCCCTCCAGGAGAACCCCGATGTTCAGCTCTCGGATGAACTGGATGCGTATTTTTTCCCAGAAAAGGCCCACTCAGCAGTGGGCCCAGGCTCCACAATTTTTTTTCTTTTTTCAGGAAAAACCCAATAGCCAACTCTCCAGCAGCCCAGGCTCCCCCACTCACTGCTGTATTCTTTCCAGGAAAACCCCAATATCCTTCCCTCCGATGAGCTTAATGTGTATTTTTTTTCCCAGCAAAGACCCCCTTGGACAGTCCAGACTCTCTGGCTTGATGCTTTATTTTTTTCCAGGCAGACCACAATATTCAAGTCCTGCCCAGCCCAGGCTCCCCAGGTCAATACTCACTATATTTTCTTCAATAAATCCCCAATATCGAACTCCCAAACAACTCATGCTTCCCAGCTCCCCAGCTTTATTTTTCCCAGAAAACTCCCAAAATTCAGTTTTCCACCGCAGAAAAATAATTAGCCTGGTGGGGAGGTGCTGGAACCAGCCCCTGTCCAGGAGGAGTTTGGTGCTGCCCACCCAGCAGCACCCACCACCCTGGGTAAAAATAATCTCCAGGCTGGGAGGCTGCAGGAGCTGAGCCCTCGGTGGTGAATGTGCCAAAAAGGACATAACACCAAAACCAGGAGGTGCTGGTGCAGCGGTGCCAGTGGGGTGCCCCACAAGGGGACAGTGCTCCAAAACTGGGGAGGTTTGGCCCTGGGGCCTCTGTGTCCACATGCTGCTGTTTGTCCAGGTGCTGCCAGTTCTCCATCTGGCAGCTGCAAGCAACGGGCTGGGCAGGAGCCCCAGGCTGTGCTGCCCCCACGTCCCTTTGTGGGTGTTTCTCCACTTCAGAGAGCCCACGCAGGGCTTTGTCCTGCTGGGGGGGCACAGGGCACCCGGCTGGGCTTGAGGTGGGGTTTGGTGCCCACAGCATCGCCGCCTACGTGGAGGCCGCAGGGCTGCCCAACCTGCTGCCCCCCATCCTGCTGGACGCGTCACAGGGCTGGGAGAGCTGGGGGGGCACCCAGCCCGCCTCCCTCGACCTCCTTGTGAGCATCAACATGATGCACATCGCGGAGCTGCGGTGCACCGAGGTGAGCAGCCTGACAGCCCCTTCCCCTGCCAGGCCAGGGGGTTCCCAGGGGGTTCCCCAGCCCCCTGACCCCTCCCTGACAGCCCCTTCCCCTGCCAGGCCAGGGGTCTCCCGGGGGGTTCCCCAGCCCCCTGACCCCTCCCCACCTCTCGCTCCCCAGGGCCTGTTCAGGGGTGCCGGGGTGCTGCTGAAGCCCGGAGGTGTGCTCTTCACCTACGGGGTGGGTCACCTGTCCTTGTGCAGGAGCGTCCTGGGGGGGCAGGGTGGGTGCCAGAGTGGGTACTGGGGGGCAGCTCCAGTCATGGCTTAGGGAGGGAGCTGGGAAATGCAGGGGCTTGGCTTTTGGGGGTCTCTGCCTTTTAGGGCACATGCTGAGAACTGAGAGGAGCAGTTTTGGAGGAGACAGATCCTGTCCTCCCTCACCTTATCCAAAGCAGGTCTGGGGTTGCCTGCAGTGGGTGACAGGACTCACAGTGCGTGATGGGACTCCTTGGGGGCTCTGTCTCTTCCCACTTGGCTTCTGTGCTTGGTGGGGACACAGCAGCGTCCGTGGAACCGGAGCTGGGCTGGAGGAGGAGGCAGAGGGTGGCTCCTGCCTGCAGCTCCAGCTGTGTCCCCCCAGCCCTACGCTGTGGACGGCCAGATCAGCCCCCAGAGCAACGTGGACTTTGACCGCAGCCTGAGGCAGAGGTAGGAGGGGGCTGGGGAGCTCAGGCTCCTGGGGACCCATCCTGTCCTCTCTGTCCCCCCCCCCTGCAGCTGCAGGAAGCTCCCTCCCAGCGTGGTCCTTCAAGATAAACCACGGCTGAGGGCAGCCCCCAGCCGGGGGTGGCTCTGGGAGATGGGGCAGGTTCGGGGCGGGGTGTCCCGGGGTGCCCCACGCCTCCCTCCCCGCAGGAATCCGGCCTGGGGGCTGCGGGACACGGCGCTGCTGCAGGAGCTGGCTGAGGCCAACGGGCTGTGCCTGGAGAGGATGGTAGGTGATGCTGGGGGGCCGCCCGTGCCGCTGTGCCCCCCTGAGCCCGGCTCTGTGCTTCCAGGTGGACATGCCGGCCAACAACAAGAGCCTGATCTTCCGCAAGCTGTGAGCTGCCCTGGCGGTGCTTCCAGCGCCTCCCAGCTCTGCTGTCCCCACGGATGCCTCCTGCAGTGTCGCTGTCCCACCATGGCTGCCACTGGGGCTGGGGACAGCAGTGATGGGACAGAGCCCCGCTCACCCCAGCTGGGGCTGACTTGGCTGGAGGGGAGGTCCATCTCCCCTGGGTGCCTTTGGAGCTCCCTTTGCAGTGGGGTGCCCCAGCCTGGACCACAAGAGCCAGCACAGCTGCTGTGGGGGACACACTTGTGTGTGGGGTGGGGGGACACAACTCCCGTGGGCATGGGGGGGACTCCTTGCTCCATTTCCTTGGAGGATCTTGTGCTGGTGGTGTTCCTCCTGCCCCCCTCCCCAGGATTGTGCTGCTGCCCCCCCAATAAACTCTGTGGCTTTGCCCCCCATGCCCCAGCAGCTCCCTGATGTTTTCAGCACAAACACTGGGGTTGGGTGTCCCCAGTTCCACCTCCAGCACCAATGAAAGGGCCGGTCCAGCACCCAGGGGTGTTACACTGGGCCCAGAGGCTTTGGTGAAGTGGGAAGATTTTATGAGTGGGGTGGTCCCAGCAGATCTCCCACCCCTCTGCAACCCAACCCAGTTCTCGATTGCTGCTGGACAGTATGGAGGGGGGGGGGGGTCACAGGGTGGGGGGAACATGCGGCAGATAAATTACAGTGGGGGTGGGAGCTGGTCTGGGGCTCAGCATGGGCTTGGGGGAACTACATGACAGTGGTAACCTCTAGACACAGGCGCTGCTGCAGGGGCTCCCTCGGGCTGCCCCCTCCGTGCTGGGTCTGCAGCTCCCCCCCAGTCGGCACATCCTCACTCTCCCCTAGTCCTGGAAGCGGTTCAGGAGGTCGCAGGTTTTCTTCTCCATCAGCTCATAGATCTTCTTGACCCGTTTGTCGTTGGCCGCCCGGACGTAGCTGCTGGGGTCCAGCGTGGCCATTCCATCGTGCACCTCGCCCATGATGATCAGGGGCCCGTCCTCCGCCGTCATGTTGGGGCAGGGGCAGCTCCAGTCCATGTCGGTCAAGGTCACCTCCAGGTACTTGATGTTGAAAAACTTGAGGCCCATCTTCTCATCCTTGAGGACGTCCTCGAGAGCGAAGCGGGCTATGCCGGAGTCCTGGTCCTCCACGATCTCCATGAGCCGCCCCACGATGGCGAAGTCGCTGCGGCAGAGGCTCAGCACCATCTTGCTCTTCAGGCGGCAGGCCTTGCACTGCAGGCTCTTGGGGAAGGGGCACACGTCCTCGCAGGTCTCCTTGCTCTCAAAGTTATTGGTGTTGCCCTCGCAGCCGCCGTAGACGAAGGAGTGGCACTGCTTCAGCAGGTGGTTGTACGCCCAGCGCGGCTCCCAGTTCTGGCAGGGCCCCTGCACCATGGGCAGCAGGCAGGTGGGGCGGGCGCTGCCCAGGCAGGCGGCCCGGCACTCCTCGTACGTCTCGAAGTGGTTCCTGTTGGCCCCGCAGCCGCCGTAGCGGAAGGTCAGGCAGGAGCCCTGCTTGGCATCAAAATGCCAGCGCACCTCCGTGGCCTCGCAGCGCCGCCGGTCCGGCTCCTTCAGGCACTCGGCGCTGGGGAAGGGCTGGGGGCTGCCGCTCCGCGGGGTCCCCCCCGGCTCCCGCCTGAGCACGGACAGCGGGAAGTCGGCGCGGAGCAGCCCGGCGGCGTTGCGGGCCGTGCAGGTGTAGATGCCGGCGTCCTCGTGGCGGGCGTTGTAGATGACCAGCTGGCCGATGTTGGTGACCACCACGTTGCCGTACATCTGGTCCGGCCGCATGATGAAGTTCTCCTCCCGCTCGCTCTGCTTCTCCCAGGTGATGTCGGGCTGCGGGCGCCCGCTCACGTCGCAGCGGAAGCTGACGGTGCCGCCGGCGCGCACGGACTGGTGGAAGGGGTTGGTGTAGAGCGCGGGGGGCACCGGCACCTCGGGGCCGGCGCCCGGCGTGGGTCGCGCCGTGGTCTCCTGCGGCACGGGGCTGGTGTCGGGCCAGGTGAAGATGTGCTTGCAGGGCACGGTGGTGAGGCGGGTGCCGCGCAGGCACGCCTCGGCGTCCATGTAGCACTTGTTGTAGTAGGTGAGGCCGTCGGAGGCGCAGGTGAAGTTGGGCTCCTTCTCGCAGCGGTCCTTGCACTTGCAGACGGGCTGCCCGTCCCAGATGTCGCAGTCCGAGCCCTGCTGCGCGCACACGAAGCTCTCGCAGGAGGCGGCGGGTGCCGCTGCCAGCGCCGGAACGCTGCCGTCGGCAAAGCGCGCGGCCACGCAGCTCCGCAGCCCACACACGTTGGTGCAGCATTTCTCAAAGTCTTCACAGTCCTGCTCGGGGAGGGAGAAGGGATTGCGGGGGGAACGTGGGGGTCACCGCTGTGCTGGGACTGTGGGTGCTGTTCCCACCTCTGTGGGACTTTCGCACAGCCCTGTGCACCTTCAGCATCGCTGGGCTCCGGCTAAGAGCCAGACCTCCCCGGCACATCTGCACCAGCCCCAGCCCACCCCCAGCACCCCCAGGATGTTGGAGGGTGCACCACAGTGATGACGGTCCCTTCTCCCCACAGCAGAGTGCAACTCGCCCTTCTCAGCTTCTGCCGGCCAAGGGGACACAGAACGCGTACAGATGAATTGTGAAGGAGTCTCGCCTCGGGGTTCTGACAGCCCTAACCGGGATGGGGTTGCCTCTGCTCAGCCCAGTGGAGCTCAGAGCCAGGGCTCTCTGCGATGGACAGCCCGGTCTGTGGGTGGGCTCCGGCCCTCAGGGAAAAGTTGGGAGACCATTCTGTCCTCGGCCTGATGGGGTCCGTGTCCCAGCACACCCATTCCCTTCATCCCAGCCAGCCCATTGACACGCTGGAAGCATGCTGGGGGTGCACAAGGAGGGTGTTCTGACCATGGGACACGGTCTGAGGAGGTGACATGAGGAGGCAACAAGCAGTTTCTCTGCCTGTGGGGGACTGGAGAGCCCAGTAGACAGGAGGAGTTTAGGGGGCAAAGCTGCGGCAGGGCTGAGCACGTTGCTCTGAAACAACTGAACTGGCTGTGCCACCCAGCACAGGACCCGCACCCCAAATCATCTCCTTCGGGGTGCTGGGGATGCTCCCCAAACCCTGTTACCGCCCACCGCCCCCGCAGCCCCCTCGCTCACCTGGTCAGCCTGGCACTCCCGCTCGCAGGTGCTCTGGGCGTCCACCCAGAGGTTGGGGTTCAGCTGGTTGGGGCAGACGCCCAGGTGCCGCACCCTGCCCGGCTGCAGGCTCAGCCCGGCCGCCGCCGCCAGCACGGGCAGGAGCAGCGCGATGCCCGCGGGGACCCGCTGCCGCCCCGCACGCCGGTCCCGGGCCCCGCGCCCGCCTCTCCCGCGAGGAGCCATCGGGCCACCCCAGCAGCGGCCTGGTCACCGGCGAGGGCTCGGGATAAATCACATTCAGGACGGACGGGATCACGGAGAAGGCGGGCGGGCGGGGGGACAAAGAGGAGGAGGAGAGGACCAAACCTCTGTCCCTCAGCACACCCGGCGCCCGCCGGACCACCGGCGATGCCGCCCGCCGCCTCCATCCATCGCCGCCGCTCGGCTCTCGGGGCGCCGGGACACGGCGGCAGTGGCGGGCGGCTCTCGGGGCTCAGTCCATCCCCGGCACGGCCAGCGGGGCGAGTGGGGTGGAAGGGGAGGACGGGAAGGTTGTAATCTGAATCCCCTCCCTTCCCACTGATGTTTCTGGGTGTTTGGAATGGGAAAGGCGCTGACCTCAGCCTCTAACCCCGGCGAGCCCGGCGATCCCTGGGCAAACACGGGGGGAGATCAAAGGCAGAATGCAGAAAGTCTCCAAAGAGGGAGAGTGGAAGGGGGGGCGGCGGGGGGGCGCACACAAAAACCCGTCCGGCCCACGGAGCCGAATTCCTGCAGAATGAGAAAACAGCCGGAGCCGGCGGTCCCCTCGGACGGGGCGGCCCGCGGGAGGTACGCGGAGCCCACGGAGGCCACGCTGCGGGCGGCCGGGGCTCGGCTGGCCCGGGTGTCCCCCAGCCCGCAGCGCATCTCCGGGCACTCACCGCGCCGGAGGTGCCCGGGAGCGGGACACCGGCACAGCTCCAGCCCCGCTCCCCAGCCCGCATCCCACCAGTGCCGTGCTGCCGGCACAGCACCGCGTCTCCCCTGGTGGGGTGGGCGCCCACCCAGCCCCCCTGGGGCTCCCAGCCCTCCCTCCCCAAAGATTTACAGCCAGGATGTTTCCTGAGCCACACCAGACCCCGGCACATTGTGCTTGGGCTCAACCAGCACGTCCCGCACCAGCCCAGAGCTGGCAGGAGCCGGCCTCGGCTCCCCGGCCAGATCCCCCTAATCCCCGATGGAGACTGACCTGCAGCAGGAACATTTCATGGCATTTTGGGAGCATTAACTCTTCTGGCTCTGGTGAGAGCCTCAGCCCTGAAGGGGTTTTGCAGCCCCTGTGAAACAGCAAATCCGAGGGTGTTTGGCCCCAGGGAGCAGCTCAGCACCTCCAGTCTCCCCTGTTGGGGAGAACGTGGTGGAGGGGACAAAAAAATGTGGGAGCCCTTTCTTTTCTTTCCTTTTTTTTTTTTTTTTTCTTGGGATGGGGGGGGTCCAACCCACCCCATAGTTCCATGTAATGTAATTACATTCACATGTAATGGTTTGGTGCTCCTCCAGTCTGTAGCTCCTTGTGGAAGCCCTTTTGCCCCAGACCAGGTGATTTGGGGGACCCTCAACACCCCCACGCTGGTGTGAGCAGGGTGCAACCACAATGCTGTGGCCCGGTGACCTCCAGGCAGTAGCACAGACACGGTGCTGTGAGCGGCCACCCCTGCCCCTTCCCTGCCTGGAGCAGCACACGGCTGCACTGCTGCTGGCTCTGGGCTGCCCATGGTGGTTCTGGGGCACCCCGGGGTCCAAACCCCAAAGCACAGCCAAGTGTGTCACCAGCTGGCCATGACCACGCGTGGGGAGGGCTGGAGTGTGTCCCATGGCTGTGCCCTGAATCCCGTCCCACAGCCCAGCAGGCACCCAAGGGCCCATCCAGCTGCAGATGCTGACACTCATGGGGAGGCTGATATTCTGCAAACAGGGAATTGCATCAGGATAGCCCAGCCAGGAGCTGCCAGGGCCTGTACCCTGCATGCCCTGGCAGCCTGAAACCCCCAGACCGACCCAGCTGGCCCCAGGCACCCGCTGCTGGAGATCCCTGATCCACAAACCCACAAACTCCAGCTGGGAAGCAATGTGGCAGATGCACGGCCCCCTGGTCCCCAGGGATGCAGTCCAGAGGCACAGGGCTACTTGGGGGTGTCCCAGGGTCCTTGCAGGGAGGCTGGTGCAGGTGAGAAGGGGAAACAAGACCTGGAGCCCAACTTCTGCTCCTACTCATGTCTTTGGGTCACTTTCA